CGCCGTCGTCGAAAATAGCTTCTGAAGTCTGCGTGCGAAAATAGTGGCTGCAATTATTGATTGGGTAGTTCAATAGGTGTTTGGTAACCATGGTTAAGTGCGCCATGATGAGGGAAGTCTACCAGTATGATAGGATTGGGCTGGGAGTCGCCAAAGATGGAGTTGCTGACAGTTTTGTGTGACGCGAACGGCTGGTTTTGGGACGAAATTTTGGTCAAATCCGATGGAGGTAGGGACGATTCTAGGATAGACTGTATAGAGGGCAACGAGGGCTTCAAGGTGGTGTATTGGTTCCGTGGTTTTGGTGGCCAGAAGGTGTCGGAATGGGGCTTCATATTTGGCCTCCTATATATTGTGACTGATTTGTAGTTTTCTGAAATTTTGGGACTGTGGTTGCAATTAGTTATTTTTTTTTCTTTCTTTTCTTTTTGTTTGATTTGAATGGAGGGTAAAATTGTCAAAAAACAATGAAAAGGATGTTCAGCGCAAATAAAGGTGGAAATAGGGGCAAAAATGCCAAAAAATGAAAGGTATGGACGTTTTCCACGATAACCTTGAAAGGTAGGGACGTTTTGTGCCAATTACCATATTTTATTACACGAATGTGTAGTTAAAATGAATATTAAAAAATAAAGTTTTCAAGTAATAATTATCAAATAGCAGCTAAACCAGCTTAGTGTCACGGGCCTAGTTTTGTAACTCTCGAACTACATCAGAATAGTGTGGCTTTAACGCTCTTTAACTCCCGTTCCCACGAGATAGTATTAAATCAGCCTTAAACTCCCACAATAATTTAACCAATGAGGGCAATTATATGTTAACTTTGGTAGAGATGGTAGATAAGAAATTCTGAGGAAAGTAGCACACACATATATTTGGGGAAATTTTTTTTATACAAATGTAAAAGAAAACTATTTACCAACTCTCTAATATTTTTTCTCTACAAAGATATCACCCTAACTCACTTTACTCCCATTGCATCTATGATAATTTTTTCTCTACTCTCTATTACTCTTACTACTTATTCATATGATTTACAAATGACCAAGCACCTCTATTTATAGGCAAATTCATGGCATGAAAGTTGGCATCAATGAATAAGATTGATCTTGATCCAAGGGTCCTTATTGGTTGCAAGTTGTCTTCCACCTCTTTAAACCACAGTGTAGCCAATTTAGTATTTGTTACTTTAAATGTTGCATTTCTCTACACTTACAAGTTGTCATGTCACAATGTATTTATCCGTTTCCAACTCCATGCTAGTTGGCATGTCACTTTCTAAACAAGTAGACATGTCTCCATCATGGTGGCCAAGTTGGACTTTGCTTTCACAAGCAAGTTGTCAAGTTGCATTTGGCTTCCTCATGCATGTTGCTCAATTAGCATGAGTTGGCACTCACTTACATCCAAAACCACTGACCCAGTCCACGATATTGATTTCCCTCACGATAGTGGTTTTCAACCTAAAAAACCTGACTTCCACCCTTGCGTTCCCTACAGGCATCTGCCTGCGTCTATTGCGTCCCATGTCATTGTCTGCCTGTGTTGCTGTTGAGTCCCCTGTTGCAATGCCTACAGTTTGCCTGGGTTCCCCTTATCGCAATATCAGTGTTTTCCCTTCCTGCATCCCCTACTGTAGGTACTTTCGTCAGCCATGGCGCACTACCTATGCTACATGATTTTCTCAGCCAAACCTGGATGTAAGTCACTCTCCCACCAAATGTGGCGACGCCTTCATCGCCATGTACCATCGAAGTTTGGACCTAATTTGCCATATGTCTATCTCATGTTCTCACTTAGTGCCATGACATTCTCATCTCATGCCAAACCTCAAATCGCTCTTTGGTGATCCGGGACATTTTCCCCCAATCAATTTGCTAACATTCTTATAGCGGACGTGTTCCTTGCGTCCTCATACAACTTAAGCATTGCAATATCCTCAAAGTCAATGGGCATCAAAGTTCTTCCTACTTGCAACACCATCTCCTTGATGGACAGGCGACTACAATGTCCCTTGCACCTCTTCCCTTTGCAACCTCTTACATGTGCCACCTTCGACACCAACAATCACTCTCTAAACCTTTGGATTGGTTCCTTGGATGGACGACTCCTCTGGTCATAGGGTTCCCATGCATGTCGAAGCTTTGAACATTCTTGCACCCAATTTTTGACTTATTTGACAATGCTTCATCAATTTTCCTCTTTCATAGTAGTTCCCTCGACAACTCTACGTGCATCATGTCCTTATCATCTTCAAGGGCTTTAGCCAATTGCATCCCCGAAAGCTGTCACGTTTTTGTCTCAATGAAAACGGATTCAACACTCATAGCATTAAACAACAGGAATGAATTCATCTGAACTTTATCCTCATCTTAGCTATCTACGGCCTCCAGTTTGCTATTGAAATGGCCCCTGATAATCCTAACTTAGGACAATTCTTCATGATATATGGTCCTTTGCAAATAAAGCAACCATGAAGTGTAAAATTATCCCTCTTCTTCTCATTATACTCCGTCCTCCAAGAAACTTGTGTGTTGCTGGGGGTCTATAATCAACCTTAGAATTTTGCCTCCAATCCGACTTACCCCACTGCATGGCCTTCCTTGCTCCTTCCCTATGATCACCAAAATTTCTTTTGCGGTTTGATAGTTTTAGCTTCCGTCTCAATACTTTCCTCAAACTCTATCAAGAATTCAGTTACCGTAATTGCCTCGTCTATGGTTTGACTCCGCGTATTGTAATTCTTGTTGCATCTACCTTGCATGGCCATCTAGGAAATAAAATAGCAAATCATCCTCCAGCATGCTTAGGATTTGAAGCGTAAGGGTTGTAAACTCTTTGACATAGTCACAAATTGTCCCCGTATGTTTCAATTTCCTCAATTTCTTACGGGTCTCATAGACGACATTCTCCGGGTAAAATTGCCTCTTTAGCTTTTGTTTGAACTCGTCCTAAGTGTCAATTTGCACATTCCTTTTGTAATTTTACCATGCTTAAGACGTCACCACAACATCACAATATTCAAGAGATACATTGACACAATCCGCACCTCCATTGCCTCCTCAACAATATTCACGCCATCAAAGTACACTTCCATTTGCCATAGAAAGTTTTCCACATCCACGGTATCTGTTCAGCCATCATAGTCCTTAGGCGTCGGGTAATCCATCTTTGGGAGAACAACACTTATAGCGGTACCTTCGCTAGTACCAATAGTTGATTGCTTGATTTGCGTGAACTCCTGGCTCATTTATCCAATGTCATGGCTAACTTGTTTACCTGCCTTTGTATTGCACCAACAACATCAGCGGCTTTGGCTTGGAGAAAGGTGAAATTTTCACCTATGGTGGCTTGTCCAACTCCCACAGCTTGAACATTATGCTTTACCGCCTGGACATCATCCCCCAACGATGCTTGATCATCCATCATCTTTTGGACATTTATTTAGAAAGTTTCTAACTTTCCAATAGCGTGCTCCTCCAACGCCTTAAAGGAATGCTCAAAGGATTCGACCCTATCACCCATATTGATGATGATCGGGTTGAGTTTCCTTTCCATCATCGAAGCTTCCTGTATTTTACTTTTCCCACGTGTCTTCATTCATTCTACTGGGGAAACACTAAGTCCCCTCTCGTCTACTTCAATTTTGACAGCATCATGAGATTCCGCCATTTGAGCATCTCTCACAAATCTAGCTCCAAAAACTCCAACAAACTTGGCTACCACAGCCGAACTTGGTTACCACAACTAAACCTTTGCTTTGATACCGACTCTGTTGTCCACACCAATTGAACCATGCATGGACGTCACCTTACCTATGAGATGAAAAATTGGTTCAACCACGCGTGAACTTTGCTCTGATACCATCTGTCATGGGCCTAGTTTCATTACTCCCTAACTACGCTAGAACCGTGCGGCCTTAATGCTCTACACTTTCGTCCCATGAGATAACATTAATTTAGCCTTAAACCCCGATGATAATTTAACGAATGAGGCTGAATTATATGTTTACTTTGGTAGAGATAGTAGATAGGTAATTATGAGAAAAAGAGCATACTCATATATTTGGGGAAAACTTCATTATATAATTGTAAGAGAATTATTTACAAACTCTATAATATTTTCTCTCTACAAAGATATTTCTCTATCTCCTTCACTCTCATTCTATCAATGGGAATTTTCTCTCAACTCTCTGTCACTCATACAAGTTCGTATCATTTACAAGTACCAAGCACCTCTATTTATAGGTAGACTCATGGTATGCAAGTTGGCATCTATGGTTAGAGTTAATCTTGATCCAAGGGTCCTCATTGGTTACAAGTTACCTTCCACCTCCCTAGACTACAAGGTAGCCAAGTTGGAATTTGCTATCTTGCAGGTTATGTGTCTCTACACTTGCAAGTTGTCATGTTGCAATGTATCTTTCCCTTTCCAACTCTATTCTAGTTGGTATGTCACTTTTCATGCAAGTTGACAATTTCTACAATTTATGTGCAAGTGGACATGCCTCTATCGTGGTGGCCAAGTTGATCTAAGTTTCCTCAAACAAGTTGTCAAGTTGGCAGTCCAGGATTTTTGCTTCCCCTCAAGATAGTGGTTTTCAACCTAGAAAACTTGACTTCCGTCTTTGTGTCCCCTGTCGACGTCTACGTCCCTAGCCTACTTCTGCCTACACAGTCTGTCTATTTTGCTATTGCGTCCCCTGCCACAATGTCTGCAGTTTGCCTGAGTCTTGGTTCTACTTATGTCCTCCTGCTGCAGTGCCTATCTTGGTTTTGCCTGCGTCCCTTGTCGTAGTGCCTGCATTGGTTCTGCTTGCATCCCTTAACTCCAGGTTTGGCCTACGTCCCTTGCCCCAATACTTATGTTTTTCCTACTTGCGTCCTCTTACCACAGGTGCTTCCATCTAGTTATAGCGCACTGCCTGGGTTACTCGATTTTCCCAATTGCAACCTGGACATATCGACTGTGACCATTCTCTCCCACCAAATTTGGCGGCGCCGTCATCGCCATGTACTGTCAAAGCTGGGGCCTAATTTGCTATCTGCCTATCTCCTATTCCCACTTAATACCATGACATTCTCGTAGTACGCCAAGGCTGAAGACACTCCTTATGATCCGTGACGCTAGGCAACAAATAAAACTGAACTGTGACCTCTTTTAAACGTCGTCGTCACATCCTTAATTACGTCCCGCCGGACGCCAAACTCGGATTCCATGACAATAATATCCATTTTGGTTCCACACATTATACGGTCCATCCCTCTCTCTACTCGGCGATTCCCTCTTCTCTCTCACTTTGCTAAAAGTCGGTTGACAAAATTTCAGTTTTTAGGTCAATTCTCACTCGAACTTGAAGTAAATGGTTTATTTTTATGGAGGGTTGGTTTTATTATTGTCGTGTATATCTGTACATAGATTTTTCATTTTTTTTGGTTTTGTTTTTGTCATTTTATGTTGCTATTTGCTAACTGTGTTTCTCTTCTCGTTTATAGTTAATTGTTTATCACTTGTTTAATGCCTTTTTCCGTTTTGGGGGGAGTTTTTATTTATTTATTATTATTTTTTCCCCCCCGCAGACGAGCAATTGGATTTTTGATGTTTGATTAAACACTTGAAAAGAGAGAGGGAAAAAAATGCAGTTTTTTGTAAGAGTAGTATATGTGAAGATTACATGATATATGTTCCGGCGTTTTCTAGTTCTATGAAATTGGAAGTGTGATATTCGCTCCATCTAGTTTGAATTGATTTCTGCTTAAAGACACTGATATAGAAGAATTAGTTGTTCCCTGTACTTCTACTTGGAAATTTTCTTTTGCCATTACTGATGATTATGCAATTCTCGATATTGTCTGTTTTTGAGAACTGCGATGTCATGTTATTGTTACTTCCAAGGATTTAGGTACAAACTTTCCATTGGGTAGAACATTTCACTCAACATATTTGAATACGAAAAGAATATTACATACTACTAGTAAAGATTCGACATAATAGGATGTAAAACTCCTATAGATCCTTCTAAATATTGATTGTTGTTTCTCTTTATTAAGGTTACTGTAGCTGTCAACATAACCCCTCACTTTTCTTCTGAAATACGTAGCCATTTTGCCAGTTTGTTATCACTCTCCCTATACTTCTTTCAAATCAATGGCGGACGGGGAGGGTGAAATGCACATGCAACATTCACCAACAGTTGAAAAACTGGAGATGCAGTTTGAGGAGTTGCGGAGCCAGCTGGAAGATTCTGGCAAGTTACGCGAACGCATTCGGGCTGTTGCTATGGAAATTGAGTCCACCACATGGCTCATGCACTCTAGCGTTCTCCTCATCCACCACTCCATCTCTATCTCCGGTGCATTCCTGTCATCTACATAATTTCAACTTTCAGTTTTCCAATATGAATATTAAAGTTCAAGTTTTATTTTATTTCAATCTGATTGCTGTTTTTTTTTCTTTTCTGCTGAATTTATCATTAATTTATATTCAACCTGTACCTTTTCTTTTCTGCTGAATTTATCATTAATTTATATTCTCTTCCAAGAAACATTAGTGTATGATAAGTAACTTTAAAGAAACAGAGAAAAGAAGACAATATTGGTGTCAAGCTTAAATAATTTCAACATTTTTTACGATTAGGTGTAGTTTTGCTGAATGGATAGTGGGTTTTCAGGTATGTCTTTGTGATAAACTGCCATCACTTTTTTATTATTATAATAGTATATTGGTTCCTTCTCCCTCACTTGGGCTTTGTAATCAATGGATGAACTCTAATTTATTGATTACTATAAAATGTGTTCAATTTAGATTGTGCTAGTGCATCGGTTAAATGTAATAGAAAAATATTATTTTATCATCATTATTATAATTGCCATTGTTGTTGGTGTTGATTTCATTGTCATTGTTATAATTTTGATTAGATGTTATAGAGAAGGCAAAGCAACAAATTGGTGGTCTAAGGGAATTATATAACAAGCTTGCAGAAATTATTCGTGAATGTCCTGACCAGTATTACAGGTTTTAGGGAAAAAAATTTGTTCAATTTTTTGTTTTCAGACTTTTTAAGTGGTATCAAATCTTTGTTATAGTTGAAGAATTTTTTTTTTTTTTTTTTTTATTATCATTAGGTATCATGGTGATTGGCGGACTGAGACTCAGACTGTAGTGTCATTGCTCTCCTTCATACATTGGTTAGAAACTGGGACTCTTCTACTGCACACTGAAGCTGAGGCGAAACTTGGATGTATGTTCAAATTCCACTCAAAATACAATTTACATATGGTTAAAATTTTTCTAGCTTGCTCAACAAACAACTACAGTTTTCATGGATTACATAATTTTGTTTCTCAATGTTACAAATTCAGTTGAAAGATGCAATCTGCCGGGAATATGTTCTTTTGAGTAGGAGTTGCATGTTATCTCGTAGTTTTATGGTTCTTTTCACGATTGTGAAGCATGAAATCCAGCTGAATGGATAAAGCACTTTGACAATATGAGAGCTCAAGATCAACTATGAAATAAAAGCTCCGCGTTGACTTGTGATGATTGCCCTTTCTCATTTGACATAGGAAATGTTGGGCTTGTATTGTAAATAGTATCATCTCTCTTCATTTGATCATCTTATTAACCACTTAAAAATAAGAGATTTCTTGGAAAAGTTTCGGATTATACGTATTCTGTGAAGTTTCTAGTCATCAGAATATATATTGTGAAATTACCTGCTACAAGATGTTAAGATGTGGATTTTGATGTTAACTTGCTTTGCCGATAACATGTTTCATTTCTGCACTCCACTATCATATCTTATTTGGATCTAGTTGCTAAATTGCCTTGCAAAGCAACAGTTTCATTTTAATTATCAACCCCCATGATTCGTCTGTACTTTTATTAGCAAAAGGACTTACCTAACTTCTAAGGAGCTGCAGTGTTGGTTTATTATCTATCTCTACTATCCGGTGCTAGCAAGATAAGAATTTCGCTTTTACCTTCCTTTTTTTCTTAGAAAAACCAAAAATAACGAACATTTTTGAACGAGTATCATTGGCGGTACTCCAAGTTTGAGGCCTTTCGGTGACCTTATAATAGTTCCCTTTTTTCTTTTCCCTTTTTTTCTTTAATCCCAACTGATTTACTTTAGTTTAAGTTTGCTGAGAATGTGATATCATCTTAGTATTCTTTCTTGGTCTATGACACAGTGAATCCGACTGAGTTTGGACTTGATGTCGAAGACTATCTTATCGGTAAGTGTGTCCAAGCTTTGGCCATGTTGGTTTCAAGTTTCGACCATGAGTTCATGGTGTTGATTGGTTTCTCTGCTCTAGATGCTTTGCTATACAACTTTTTGTTCCAAATTTTCAATATGTGCAACTCCTGAGCTGTCATCTTTTTTGATTGAATGACCCCTTTATTTATGCTGCTTAAAATTGCCTAAAATTATGATAAAATAATTGGTTATTTTAGGAAGCACCGGCACTTTGTGAACTTTTCTTTGGCGAAAACTGTGAACTTGCTTTATAATCTCATTTTGTTTGCAACTGAAAGACCAATCGACTTCCTTGAATATTTGTAATCCGATTGGTCTTCTTCTTGTTTTCTTCTATTGATTGTTGTCCAAGATTATTATACTTATCTCGCTTTGTTATCATTTTTCTTCAACTCAGATATTTTTCACATTGTATTGATCCAGAGTTTTTTCTTATACAGGAATTTGTTTTATGTCCAATGAATTGGTAAGTACACCATCAAAATATCCTTTTTATTTCCCAAGTTTCATGGAGGAGGGTCACTAAAGAACACTTGAGATTCTTTGATAATCATGTTTGCGCACCACTATCGTCACTAATTATTTTCTTCCTTTACCTTCCCCACTAAAATGAATGCTCTAAACAACTCTGATGCCTTTTAAACACTCACAAACACAATTCGACTATAATGCTCGTTGTTTTAGACTTTATATAACCAAAATAATTAAGAAAAGAAAACAGTTTTTGCTGAACATAACTGATTTTACTATTTTCAGTTAGTAAGATATTTGCACTCTGTAACGGGCGGAAAATGAGTAACTGGTACATGCTTTTGCAGCCGAGGTATGTGGTGAACCAAGTGACTGCTGGGGATTATGAATGTCCAAGAAAAGTTTTGAAGTTCTTGAAAGATCTACATGCTGCATTTCGCATGCTTAATCTTAGGAATGATTTTTTGCGCAAGAAATTTGATGGTAAGTTAATCATTCTGGTGTTGCTTGTGCAATCTATGATGATGGTTAAGGTCCTTGAGGATGTGAAGAAGGATGGCTTTATTCTTCTCGGCATTCTTGTTCTATTTGTCTGATTCTTGGGATGGCTATTTATTCTGTCTCATTTAACTTCTCAAAGCGATAAATTTTCTTGTGACAGGAATGAAGTATGATCTTAGAAGAGTTGAAGAAGTGTTCTACGATGTGAAAATTCGTGGCTTGGCGACCAATGGAGAGTCGGCAGGCAAGGAAGGAGATCAAGGACAATCATGAATCAGGGTTGGCTTTCAACTCCTCTTGGTCTCATTTTCCTTTGTGTTCTGTGTTCATCACGTTTGTATTGGAAAAAAGGATGGGTTCATCAAAATTAACACAAATCTTGGATTGGATCGATTTTGCTATGCACCAGTGACTTAAAATGTTAGACTGAAAATGCATGTTTTAAAATTTATTGAGAATGATGCAAATTTCTCTTTTCCTCTGAACAATTTTAGCCTTGTAAATATCTGCATTTACTTGCCGTTTACCATTTTCACTAACACCAATCTCCCATTCAATTGCTGTACTTTAACATCGCTTAGTTCTATTATATTTAGAGTACGTTTGTAGTGCCTTATCTTAAGCAATAAATGTATGACATTAGGTTTGGTTCATGTTTATTATCACATTTCAAAGAATCCACTATTTAAACTATTTATATGCTGTTCGGATATGCTTGTTATTAATGTTGGCTAACCTTCTCGAAATAAGTCAACATAATTCATACATATGAAACTTCTCTCTCAGACTGCCGTCTAAACGTGATCCATATCTAACGGTACTGGTCCATGAATTTTTCTTTCAAAAATATTAATCTTTTATACAGAATTACATCAATCACGTCACATGAAAAGTATGATTCATTTCCCAAAAAAAAAATAAAAATAAAAAAATAAATCCTTTATTGCTTGCTCAACATTGTTAATACTTAATACTGTGTGCATATTCCTAAAGTACTAAAACCATGCTCGTACTACCAATAAATTTGAAGAGAGATCACAAAAAATATAGATTTAAAACAGCCAATTAAAATTGGCGACATACAATTTTCCCTTGCACAAACATCTTTATAAAAATTTGAATTCCTCTTTCATGGTTTATCCGAGCATTTGACTTGAATATGCGTCTAAAAAAGTTATAAGATTTAAGTGTCAAAGATTGAATTTGAATCGCGATACTATTTTAATAGGTTTTGCATTAGACACAATAATTTTATTGTTATCTAGATAGGTGCTAAATATTACAAGATTGATATCATTATTCTATGTTATAAATGCGCAAAAAGTTAGTGACAAATAAAGTGTAAACAATAATATATACAATTTTGTTACAGTGACAAAATTATTGACAAAATTTAATAACAGAGGACACGTGATAATATTTTGTTGGATGGTTAGAAAAAACAAATTCATATAGGTGATATTGTTGACGTAGCACCTATCTAAAAAGCGAACTCCGTTAAGTAGTATTATCCTAATATATACTCGTAAGATTAATATAAATCTAATCGGGAGGGTCAATCTGCGTTGACCTGATTAAGACAGGACATAGCTGATTAGCATGAACTAAATCGACCTAGGCAACAACGAAAGCAAGTGGTTAAAGCGTCGTAATCACAAACTAACTACGAATCTCCACGGCGGACGCCAAACTCAGATTCCATTACAACAAATTATATCCCTTTCGATTCCGTTCAATAAATGTAGTACCGTACCTACTTTTCCACACTGGTCACTGGTCAGTGGTCACTGGATGAAACTTGTTTTTCTTATTCCTCACTTTCCCTGTACTCTTTGGTCGATTCATCTCTCTCTAAAATTGCCGAAAAAATTGAAGCTTTAAGGTCAATTCTTTCTATCAATTCGAAGTAATCGTGTATTCTTAAATTTGTTAAGTTTTTATTCTGGACATTATATTTATTTTTTTTGCTCGTACTGTCGCTAATTATTATTTTTTTTATTGTTGTTTATTGTTAATTGTTTATCGCTTGTTTACTGTGTTTTCTGTTTAGTGTTTTTATTTTGGGGGCTTGGGGTGTTTAAGGATGTTAAGCTATTCGATGTTTATGTTTCCATGATAATGTCGGATATTTAAGATAATCAATGTGAGATCAGGGACCTTTACAAATTACGCATTGTCTGAGTATTATTATTTCACAAAGAGATATTGGAATTTTATGGTTGAATTTAAATACATTTTAGGAAAAAATGAAAAAAGAAACTCGACAGAAACGTGTGAAGAATATATGATTTTAGGGTTGAAATAATTTCTGGTGCTAAAATTTAATGAGACGTGATAGTTTAAATATTAATGAATTTACAAAATTTTATTTTGGAATTAATACTTGAAGCGAAGCACATTTCCACACTTGAGTCGTGAGGGTGCTGCTAATGGAGAATCTGATACTCGATGGTTAATATGCAAACTGGTTTTTATGTGTAAGGATTCTAGTTTTAATTTTAAGTGATCAAATATCATATCATGTCATGCATTATTATGGGTTTATGATATCACTTGTCTTTTCTTCTTGTTGAATGACAATTGAAAATAGGCTCACTCATAAATTCATCCTGCAAAAGAAGAGTACTTTTTCTGACTTGTATATTCTACTTTTTTATGTTTGGTAGATAAGTTCAATCAATATTCATACAAAACTGACTCCAAACTGGAGATATTATTCTGGCCTTTTAAAAGTACGTTTGTTGGAAACTATATAAAGATCATTGCTGGAGCATAGAAAAAAAATTATAGCCTGAAGGATGTCAATTTGTTTATCAGCCAAGTTTATTGATGCATTGATTTGAAAACATCAAATGAATCTGTACATCTAAATTAATGTGCTCTCTTAAAAAATCAATAATGTGACTGTAAGTGGTGGTGCAAAGGATACACAAGGGAAATTTTTTAAAAACTCTTTTAAATTTTTTCCTCTAAAGACCTTGTCTAAATTTACAAATGTCCGAAAATTACTTAGGAATCCGAGTATTGAAGCTTGCTCTTATATAGTTAAGGGTTAATCACGGTGGCATTAAATGCCATTGTTTGAATTTAATAGTTGTTCATTAGAGAAACCCTTAAAATGAGTTTGACTGTATTGACACACATTTGCAATTGAGACAGCTGCTTGCCTTAAAAACTTATTTTAGAGCTTGTTTGGTGCAGCTTAAAAGCCGATTAAAATCAATTTTTGGACCGTTATTTCACTATTCCGACCGTCATTTTTGAATTCTTCTCTCACAGGTAGGACCCACTTTATCTCTAACGGTCAAAAAATCAATTATCAAAATCCCTACCAAACAAGTACTTAAAATTTAGTTTCTAAAACTGGAATCTGTAAAGAACTTCCTTGCTCGAAAGTGGAAGGAATCAACTTATCGATTGTGGAAATGCAAAGACAATTTTGAATCTAGAATAGATTCTTCAGTTTAGAATACTGTATATAAACATCGGAAGTTATCATTAAAATCATGATTCTGCAACTATTAATGGATTGTCCAAAACCAGTCTGTTCCTCCGAAGCGCATTTTATAAGTGATGACCCAAAGTTCAATTTTCATTGGCTATCAATTGAATTGTTTGCTGGCTGTCTAAATTGAGCATGCTCCACATTTAGTGTTTAGGTTTGAGTATGTAAAGATTGAGACTTGGAGAAATACACGGAGGGAGATAGCAATAACAGTTCATGGTTTAAGTGTGTCTGTTAGATTAAGGGAGAGAGTGTGAATTTAGTGATAGATGACAACTATGAGCTCAGATTATGCCTGCATCAGATGTTTGATGAAATTGGCTAGAACTTGAACTACAAAGTCTTAATACTTATCTTATTTACATCTGCTATAACAACTGAGATTGTTTTAATCTAAATTCAATTTTTTCTTTATGGAGTCTATGCAGACATAAGCTGTTGGATTTTCCGGCACTGAAGTAGTGTGAGCTTTTAGGATAAATATAAAATATTTTGGTTTCTTAATGTAGAAGAAATTTTTGCTAGGAATTATTTACTATTTTCCTTCTTTCAGCCACAAAGGTGAGTGGAAATAGTTGAGTAAAATTAGTTGCTTTCTCTCTGAAAATTTGTCTTCGAGAGTGAAACATGTCACTGTCTAACCCATTTGTTTTTCTTTTCAACATGAAGCTGAATGGACTTGATAAACTGAAAATTCAGCTGTATCTCAGGGCATATATGCAGAAGAGAGTGATTTTTCTCCTCTATTATCCATATTTGTAATTCTTTTGCTGTTTATTTTGCTCACTTTTCTTCGGTCACATGTATGATCCAGTTAATTGATCATAAATAGGGTATTCTATTTTCTTATGAAGGGAACTTATATAGGACATATTTGGTTCTATCAATACTATTTTTCAGGTGTCATGGAAGATGGACCTCTGACATTGGATGACGGAACAACTGACGTTCAACATTTGCTTGTAGAACCCCAAGATGAGCACGTTTCAATGGATAATGTCTTATGTTTTAACGAAAAGATCCCAGAGAATGCCATGAAAATGGAAGAGGTTTCCCGTAGTTTTGGTATAGCCTAAATTACTCCTCCCCTCTTCTTCAAACCAAATAATTAAGTGAATACATTTTTCTCCTTATTGGTAATTACTGGTTGAAGGGATGTAAAAATTTATTACTTAGTAATCTGAAAGGTATTTTTACATTTATTAGCCCCTAGTTGTCCTCATCAAAAGAGTCTTGCTTTTGTTAGGAACATCTATGGGAATAAAGTAGTCTGTGTACCTGAGTGTGACTGTTCGTTATGCACCACTGTGGAAGCATTCATAGTGACTCTGAATTCTGTCTTACAATTTTAGTAATGAACAACTTTGTCTTGTTAGTAATGTGAAGGACTTAATTGATGTAAAGTTCATTTTCTTTGTTCTGTTCCCGGCTTTGAATTCGCGATAGGTCTTAGCCCCGTCTGGCTTAGCTCATGGAATAGTAGCTCCGCTTCTTCCTTTTTTGGGTTAAGATATAATTATTGATACACTTCCAACTCAAATTTTTTTTTTTTTTTATTATTTTTATTTTTTCAGTCTTGGATGTTGTTCATTTACTATGGTATTTGAATATCCTAAATGTTTTGAGTATTTGCTGGCTGCCATCTGACTCCTCATTGAACTTTGTGCAGTTGGACCAAATTATGGTGTTGCTCAGGAAGGGGGAGTTGTTCTGAAGCAAGAAGTAGGTTATGATTATTTTAATCTTTCCCTATAAATGGTTGAGTATGGTCCCGATGAAATGTGATCATCGAGTTTAATTTTATGTTATACTGCAAATTGTGTTTTTCATTGATGGATAGTCTGTAAGTGTCTTTTGTTAATACTTGTTGTCCGTTGTCGGAAATCTTGCTGAAACACTTATCTTTCTCCACACACAGAGACACACATACATAAAAATGGCTACGGACAAGATTGTACCCAAATGCTCTATTTAATGTTATACCCAAAATCAATGTTGTACGTTCCGATTATTCTTGCTTTCGGAATGTCATTTTTGGAACTTAAACGCCGTTATTTTCCTTGTGTTGCAATAACGTGCTGTGTTTACATTGGAATATTGTTGATGTCGAAAGACGTGTTACTTTCAAGGGTAGTAGTTAGAAGACTTAATGATAGCTTTGACAAGTTGTTGTTAAATTTTGTGCACATCTGTTGCTAAATGGCATCATCTTCTCAGTGGGATGGTTCACATGTAGGTACTTGATGTAATGCCAGGTGACTTTCGGAATGTCATTTTTGGAACTTAAACACCGTTATTTTCCTTGTGTTGCAATAAGGTGCTGTGTTTACATTGGAATATTGTTGATGTCGAAAGACATGTTACTTTCAAGGGTAGTAGTTAGAAGACTTAATGATAGCTTTGACAAGTTGTTGTTGAATTTTGTGCACATCTGTTGCTAAATGGCATCATCTTCTCAGTGGGATGGTTCACATGTAGGTACTTGATGTAATGCCAGGTGAAGTTGAAGCTGGATATTTTCAATTGCCAAATGATTTCTGTAGCATGGGTGAAGATTACTTTTCAGGTGGACATCCTTTTCCTTGATAATCAACTGTTTTTCTGATAAATATTTATAATTATCAAGTGAGATAACCCGCCAAAAATATTTGTTCAATTGGGTACAGGTATTGAATTTGCTCAAAGTATTACCAATTTGGATTATGGTTTGAGTGAAGGCTTGCACATGTCATTGTCAGAAAGTCCAATACGGGGGTCAAGTTCTGATGCTAATACACCTTGGAAATCAGATTTAGCTATAACCGATGTGACAGAATGCCAGGATGACCGGGATAACTTTCGCAATTCTGAATTAAGTGATACTTGTATCCGCCAAGAGTGTGAAACATCAATTGAGGAGAAGCCATTGAAATTTCCTACGCCATCTACTATACAAAATATTAGTGAGTTGCAAAACATACCGAGCGATTCTCCTCGAGGTATATCATCTGATGAGGATGGTGGAAGCCTTTTCCCTTCTGATTTTACATCTGGGGAGTTGTTCTGCAGTTCAAAGATTCAGGAAAACAAGGAATTTGGGCTGATGGGTCAAAATGCTGAGAGTAACGGTTCTGATGGCCAGGATGAATTGGCAAAGATCTCAAACCTGGCCAACACCGATTCCCTTACTAAGCAAAAGAGATCTCGTAAGCCTACACGGAGGTACATTGATGAATTAGCAGAGCCTATCTCTAGACATTCTAAGAAAAAACAAGAAGTTTCTATTTCAATCCCTATTGCTAAGTCTCTGGTAGTTAAAAATCGCGAGAAGTGTTACATCGAATCGAAAACGAGAATTTCCCCTGAGGAGTCTTCTGTCATTGCTATTCAAGTGCCATTTGGTTCTTTAGTGCATAAAGAATGTCAAAAGAGTCGTCCATCAGATATGGTAAGTTTGAAGCAAAACATGATCACCTTGTTACTTACCATGAATGATTATTTTTTCTGCAAACTTTATTGTTTTGCTGCTTTCTTCTCAATTTCAATGTCTGACACATCAGAGGACTAGAATACCTTTAAAATGTGATTTTTTTTGAGTTTTATGAGTTCATTACGAGCTTAATTATTTTCAATTATTGCTTGATCTATCGAAAGATCCAATCAAACATTTTCAGACCATTTTAATTTTGATCTTCCTATCTCTGTTTCGAATAGGAATATCTTCACGTCAACCCAAGACGTTGCCCAACCAACTAAATCATATTTCCTTAATTTATCTCCAATTGGTGTCACCTGTTGGCTGGCGTGCATTCTCATTTATTTTCTCCATTTTAGTATGACGATATGTCTAAATATCTTCATTTCTATTTCATTTATCTATGGACATGCCTTTAATCATAATGTCCAATATCATAAACCATTGCCAGTCTAGTAACCATTTGTAGAATTTATTTTTTTAACTTGATAGAATCTTTTTCTTTTCAATTTTCTTTTGTAGCACTTTTGCATTTTGTCCAAACCCCTCTTATGCTATGGCGTTAGATTCCAAGTATTTTGTTAGTAAATAATTCAAATATCTAAAAAATCACTCATTTTTGGACACCATGATTTTCTAGGTTGAACCTATTATGATTTACGTGTATTTAGGAACATGAATAAATACAATAAAATTTAAGATGTTTCACTGATTTTACCAAATGTTCATTGCCTAAGAAGTAGAAAGGAGTCAATTCGAACTGGTTTTTGAAATGCCACATCTACTTTATATTGTTATCCTTTCCTATTTCTTACTGATTTTTGGCTATGAATGAAAGGGAACAATTGCATAATTCTCCTTCATTTGCTCCAAATAGAAGAAGAGGAAAAAGGAACAAAATCACAGACAGGAGGGCAGGGAAATGGAAATTTAAATGTTTTCTTTGTTCAAAATATTCTCGCTTTATCTATTGCAAAAGTCAAATGAAATATTCCTGTATTTATGTGAACAGGTACTTAGTTCTGATAATGAGAATTCAGTGGACAAGTTGGAAGATATCTGCGTTGCTGCAGTGAGTCAAAAGAAAAGGTGTGGCTATGTAAATGCAGCTTGTGAAAAGAAACGTGATGGCCGTGATGGCTTTGTCATAGCAGTGAATCAAAAGAAAGGAGATGACTCGGTCACTGCAGTGAGTCAGAAGAAAAGGGATGATCATGTTACAGCAGTGAGTCAAAAGAAACGGGATGACTGTGTCACAGCATTGAGTCATAGGAAAAGGGAAGATCATGTAACGCCAGTGTGTCAAAAGAAACGGGATGACCGTGTCACAGCAGTGAGTTCGAGGAAAAGGGACGGCCATGTTTCAGCAGTGAATCAAAAGAAAAGGGATGGCCGTGACACAGCAGTGAGTGAAAAGAAGAGGGATGACTGTGACTCAGCAACGAGTCAAAAGAAAAGGGACGAGCGTGTTACAGCAGTCAGACGACCTGAAGTTAGCAGTCGGAGGAAGCATCATATATTGTGGACTATTTCGGAGGTTAAGAAATTGATTGATGGGGTTTCCCAATATGGGGTTGGAAGATGGAGTCGTATAAAGAAGCTTTTGTTCTCAACTTCCCCCCATCGTACTTCTGTTGATCTTAAGGTAAGCATTTCTCTCTCCATTAAACACAAATGAATCTTGAGGTGAGCTTGTTGATGCTCGGGTTATCTAGTTGAACGACTTCATTTAATAGCTTAAGATGTTAGAGAAGGGTCACATTTATTTATTAAAATTTAGTCTTTAACACGCACCTTTGATTGCGCACAATTTTCATGAATGTGGCAGTGAAATTTGGACCGAGGATGTTTGTGTGCTTTGATACTATGTTGAATCACTTCGTCTAAAAACATAAGCTATTACTTGTTAGAGAAGTGACTAGTTTATTTATTTAATTTTATTGTTGAACAGATCTTAATGTGTTTGGTGATCCTGTTATAGCTTATTGATGGTTGATAGCAAAATTATGCAGGACAAATGGCGAAATCTTTTGAAAGCAAGTGGCATTCACGAACAAGGAACTAGACAGGTTTGTCATACATGATAATTTCCATTTCTATGTGGAATATTTTTTATTAGAGTAAATATTAGAAACACCCCTCAAGTTTCTGACAAATTAGGAACACTCCTCACGTTAGAAAAATTACAACCTCCCCGTTATTTTGAGATCTATATTCATCATTTTTTGATTCACTTGTCATCTAAAATGATATTGAGCCTCTGTTTGTTTCTCATTCTTTCCTCATTAAAATGAAAAATATGACCGTTATTCATTACACAAAACCATCAAATTTGAATTTTTATCTCTTGTATAGGGTCCGTAGCAACTATATTTTTCATTCTTATTCTTCCAAAAGTGAGAAACAAACGGGGCCTGAGATATCTAAAATGATGTTATGGACAAACGATGAAATTTCTACAATTAAGTGCAATTTAATTTGTTTAGTATAACAAGTGTGTTTAGGTTTCATCATAATCTATGGATACCCGAAATGTGTGAATAGTAAGTGGTGGTAGTTGTAAATGTGTGGTTGGAATTAAATTTTTTATTTTGATTAAAAATTATAAGTAACTTATAATATTTTCCAAACACAGACAATAATAAGCTAATACTTGAAGACTTTGTACTTGCATTGTTATTTGGATGATTGCATAACTTACTACGTAAAATCTCAACTTAAAATTTGTTGAAGAATTTGGTAATATATGATTTGAAGTTCTTTAATTGATAATATTATGCATAATTCAAGCCCTTGTTTGGTCATTAAAATCAAATTTTTAGCAGATTTTGTTAAAAGTTAATGGAATGTGTGGTTGGAAAGTTATGGGTCATATGAAATATGGTTAAAATCAATTGTTGACTTTGACTTAGATTTTAATAAGATTTTTTAATGGTACCAAACATGAGCTAAATATTAACAAACACAAAATTATCAATAAAATTTTGTATTTATAAATTCATGAGTTTACAGAAGATGTTAAATATGAACACTTGTTTTTTTCACAATTCAAGTTAAATTTAGTTAAAATATTGTATGTATGAGTTTATTAAAATATTATACAATTAAAAATTGTTACTAAATGATGATCATTACAAGTTAAATCAACATACTAAATGTTATATATATGATAATTGTACTTATAAATAACTCGTGTTAAAGAAAATACTATGTCTATTAACATATATATTCAAACAAATAATACCACTTGCAAAAAAAATAAAAAATAAAAAATTGTACGATTTAATTTTTAAACTATGTCAAACAAGTTTTGTGTGTAATGCGTCAATTTATATTCTTATAGTTTATTTTGGATAAATTAACCACAACTGAGTATAAAATTTTCATCTTTTATTCATAAGGGCATTTTAGATATCACGTCCTCTTTTTAGGTTACATTTGACTGAAGAGTGATGAAAGGGTGTATGATACTCAGAACTAGAAACAGGGGATGTGATTTTAATTTATCAAATGTGAGTGGGTGTTTCTATATTTGTGAGAAACCTCAAGGGTCTAATTTTCTGTGTGAATATCATAGCTATAATCTTATATTGTACTCTTGAATATTGGAGAAGTATCTGTGTACCAAAGTTGTGACCTTTGGCATGTCCACATTCAGGGGGAGAAGAAACGGAATATGGCTTGGCGCCCTTTGCCAAAACCTATACTACGCCGTGTTTGTGAATTGGCCACCATTTATCCATATCCAAATGGTCGTAAACCCAAGATTATTCACCGTGTTCCCCCTGACAGAAGTACAGATATAACATTGAGCGACTATAAAAGAATTCTCAGAAGCATAAATGGCAACTGATACTTTTGCTAGAACGACGTGCGATCTTTAGCACATATTTGTGGTGTTCCATATTTGCATCTATCCTTTGTAAAAACAGTGCACAGGAGTGTGGGTTTTTAAAATTTTTTGTACTGATTGTCACTTGACATATGAGTGTGCATTTAATCTTTCAATTTTTTTCTGTTCTTTTAACGGCTTCGATACCTCTTTCACTTTGTCCCAAAGCTTGGCAAATCTTGATCATCACTCTAATTTTTGTGAAACCAAGTTTATTGATTTTTATTTTTATTTGCATTTGATATGATTATGAATAAATTGAGTTGGGCCATTGGGGGCTACACAAGGAGATATATAATTTGGAGAGGCAGTTGGGCATCAGTTGAAGTGGACTGGAGGGAGGCAAGCAGGTCTCAGAAGTGACGATGATGGTTCGAGTATAGGCTGGATAGCCCCCATCTTGGTGTAAAAGTAGGTCGGTTTGTGGTTTGTGCTCGGTTTGGCTCATACTCGTTGCGCTTTATCTGTTTAATTTTATTTTTATTCTCTCCTTTGAATTTCATCCGAACGAAAATCGAACTCAGGTCATTGGAAAGACTTCGTTTTTACAACTTGAATACAAGTCGATAAATTATCAAATCACTAGTGGAAACGGTCTTAAAAAATGAGACTTCAAACATAGTCTTTGATAAGAATGTATATATTGAGATCCCTATGTTGATTCTAATCTAATTTTTAAAATGTATGTCCGAGTCGACAAATTTTGTGCGTGGGGCCATTTGCAGGTGAGAAAATAAATATGGGTACACTTATACATGTTAAATATCAATTATGTCATAACCTTGCAACATTAAATTTGTAGATTGTGTTGGCAATGATACGAGAAAATTATTCATTTCAAAGGGGACTTCCAATCCTTTATGGCGTTGAGGTGTCACCAACGTGCCTGGCCCTACTCTCATTTGCACTGTATTCCGTAGCACTGTACAAATTCTCTCTTTCTCTCTCTCTCTCCATTTTGATATCACATTATTCAATAAAATAATATTATACGAAAATTTAATACTTTTCTTTCTTTTTTAACCAAACATTTTCAAAAAAAATCGTTATTTTAAAATACATTATCTCCAAAAACTGGTGTAATGGATTCTAAAACAGGGGCTTAGTTATGTAAATAAATAGTGCCAACAAGCCAGCCAGGATTCCAAAATCTGTCATATCCTTGCAACATTAAATTTGTAGATTGTGTTGGTAATGATACGAGAAAATTATTCATTTCAAAGGGGAATTCCAATCCTTTATGGCGTTGAGGTGTCACCAACGTGCCTGGCCCTACTCTCTTTTGCACTGTATTCCGTAGCACTGTACAAATTCTCTCTCTCTCTCTCTCCATTTTGATCTCACATTATTCAATAAAATAATATTATACGAAAATTTAATACTTTTCTTTCTTTTTTAACCAAACATTTTTTTAAGAAATCGCTATTTCAAAATACATTATCTCCAAAAACTGGTGTAATGGATTCTAAAACAGGGGCTTAGTTATGTAAATAAATAGTGCCAACAAGCCAGCCAGGATTCCAAAATGAAATATACATGCCTGCCCACCCATTCAAATTTACCAACAAAACCACGATAATTGCATAATCACCCATGCATCTAACACTCAACACCAATTTTAGCAAGTCCAAAACCCCTTTCCATTATGTTCTTCAATCTACTTGAGCATAACAGAGTATAAAGAAGAATTAAGCTCATCAAAATTAAACCTAAAACAGGGGCTTAGTTATGTAAATAAATAGTGCCAACAAGCCAGCCAGGATTCCAAAATGAAATATACATGCCTGCCCACCCATTCAAATTTACCAACAAAACCACGATAATTGCATAATCACCCATGCATCTAACACTCAACACCAATTTTAGCAAGTCCAAAACCCCTTTCCATTATGTTCTTCAATCTACTTGAGCATAACAGAGTATAAAGAAGAATTAAGCTCATCAAAATTAAACGTCTGCTTAAATATCCATTTGTGGGGCCGATCGAATTTTGACTTCAAAAGATTAATATTGATAAAGCTACTCAAACAGGGAAAAAAGGGTTTGGTGACAGACTGACAGGTGATATGTGGCAGCATTTGTCTAGTTATTTTTTCCTAACTGTCAAATGAAAAAATAGCACGCATTCTCCTATTTTTAATTCTACCGTCGAACGTGTTCTTGTAGCAGGAATGAAAAATAGCATGTGTTTTTGCGGGTTTGTTGTTCCTTTAATGTTGCATAGAAAAATATAAGCACAAAAGATGAAGATTTTGAAAGGGAAGTGTTTCAAAATATGCATCAAAAAGTGGTGAAAAATGGGTCTCAGATTCCTGATTCTGGAGCCTGTAACAAGTGTTTCCAGTGGTTTTTATGGCCTTCGTTTCATGAAGAGAAAATAATTCCAAATGATGTTCCAAAGGGACATTTAGTAGTCTATGTAGGAGAATGTCACAAGAGGTATTAATCAAAATGACCTTACTTGATCATCCACTCTTCAAGGCATTGCTAGATCAAGCCCAAGAAGTGTATGATTTCATCACTGATTCGAAACCAGGCTCCCGTGCGACGAGAATATCTTCATCAACCTTGTCCAGTGCTCCACACGCCCTCCACATCGATCCATACTTCAGTGCCTATGACCCTTCGTCCATACATGCAGTATTCAACGTATGTGATATGTAGTAATAGATACGATTGGATAGAATGTACAAGATTTTAACTTTTACTGTTGTCCACTATCGTATGACCCATAACTTAGAAAAATAGTAACTACATAGTTAACTTGTGCTGCACGGTGTCATGTAATATGAATTCATTATTCAGCTGCAATGGAAAGCTGTTTGAGTCATTCTTCGCATTCATCAAACATTACAGACTTAATCAAAGTTTTGATGGTGTGCCTGAGAGTAGTAGTCGAGAGGTGCATGTGTTTGAACATATATCGGATTGGCTTGCTTCATATTGGACTTGACATTGATGATGCTCTTATCGCCATTTCTGCCCCCCGCCAGCTCCATCCACGTTAAGCTTTGTAGACAGACATCTTCATGCGGTGGTCCCGAACTCACATTTTGTTTTAACTTATTGACATGAAGATAGAAGCCCGTTTGACATGATTTTTGAAAAGACAACTTTCTAGATTCAAAAGTTACTTTTGGACCCTTTTAACTAATCATATGAAAGTGTTTATGTTAGAAGAAATCGATTTAATGTGATTTCCTCTAAAAGCACTTTAGAAATAAAAATGTGCTTTAAAAATTAGTTTCCAAAAAAAATATTAAGGTAACTTCTTCCTAAAGCTGCAAATAGGTAGTTTGTCACATGTATTGTTATTAAAGTTAATTAAAATTTGAGTAGTATATATCTAATAGGTGCCTATTCATCATGTTATAAATATAGTAGCTCGAAGTTGCTAAAAGTTCACAAGTCTTGTGAAATTTGATAAAAAGAAAAAA